AGACGTGGATGTTGGCGGCAGAGAGGGGCAGGCAGCGCCTGACGAGCGTGAGGGAGAAGCGGGGGTAGAAATGTTCTACAGCTTCGTATCTGTCGGAGCTTCATTTAAACCCTTGCTAAAACCAATTGTATTTTTTTGAATCCCATTTCAAACAAGCATAAGTCATCACTAGCAACACCTAATAGATGCTTTTATACTGCACTATTGAAGCAAACGGCTTTTGGGGTCAGCTAACGGGAGGCCAGCGCTGCCTGCCCCCAATACCGCTCGCCCGCCTGCTCCCCGGCTTGTCCCACCTCCGTCCCCGCCAAACGACTGAGAATACGGGGCTGCGGCAACAGAGCTGTAACAAAGCGTCAAGGGAGGGACCTCCTTCATTATAAACATCAAAGCCTGAAATCCCCTCCGGACAATGAATTCAAACATCAGTATCCTCCTACATGGCCCAACAAATACACTGGGTACCTCAACAAAGCCTTCAGGCATGAAGGCTGGGGCAGTTGCACTGTATTAAACACTTGGAATTTTGTTTGGTTTTGGTTTAGTTTTTTAAGAGCTCTAATCAGCATTTCACATGATAAAACTTAGAATGACTTAGAATTAAGTTACTTTCAAACAGATTTGTGTCCAGTCGTTTACTGGACGAGTACTAAATTATTCTCTACAAAACCTACTCATAAAATCTTTGTGGGGGACATTGCTATTAGAAGTCCAAGTTCTAACATCACCAGTCCAGAGCTACTGCAGAAGAGTAACAGCCATCTACTTCGTAATCACAACTGCTTTATTCACCACCACCACGCAACTGTTGTGCGTCCTCCAGTAGCAACTTCAGGAAGCAAGCAAGTGCAGCATACTGCCCTCCCATTGTCACCATCAGGAAATACAGCACCATAACATTCAAGCAATAAATACTAGCACAAATAAGGGGAGGATGCTCCTTGAGTCATGCAGCTGTGTGTGTATAAGGTACTGCATAGGTATTTCAGGGGTTTGATATTTCAGTATAACATTACAGAAGCAGTACTAATGAGCCCACGGTAACATAAAATACAAAAAGATTGAGCACATTCTTCCTTAGTCATGTCCCTCTTTCAGGTAGCAATTATATGTATACAGAAAGGACAGATTTCCTGACTCTGAGATGTAGAGCCTGCAACACATATGAGCAGTGTATGTTACCATATGACTTCTAGTAAGTACATATTTAAACATATTTATATACACAAAAGCATCAAAATCATACAGCATCAAAACTTCAATAAGCGGGGTTTTTTATTATCTTAGGAAAGCAATCAGTATTTTTTACATCAGAACATTATTTCTTCATTATTTTTCTTCAGCTAATGTGTTTTTACATTCTTTATTCAATTCTCCAGCTGTATTTCAGATTGCTGAAGTATTATCAAGATCATTCACACTTGGAATAAGAAAGCATACAAGCTTATCTCCAAGTTCCTTTACAGCTCTGTAAGACCTTCTCCGTCATTTAAAAAACCTCCAAGTCAGTAGTACCTTGCCATACACCTTAATTTTGAGAAGTTCCTTAAATAACATCATTCAAAAGCAACAACATTTGCACTTACATAAACATTTGCTGTTAGAAGATAGAAAAGTTACACAAAACTACATATTAAAGGAAACTTAACACAGTTGACTGAGATTGTCTTTTTGAACAGCATCATTTTTGGGGGCCCCATTTCTAGCAGCTTTAGAGAATTCTCAAATTTTGTCAACTTTACAAGTTGACATCATGTAGCACTATGCAAGAGACAGTCATTTACTGTCAGAATTGAAACTATACTGCTCCTGCCCAATTACCTTGAAGAGAAAGTGAACAGAGACTAACTTCAAGATGAACTCTGTTGTGGAGGAAAGCAGCAGAGGAGCCATTTAATACAAGGATACAGAGATGATCCAGACTTCTGATGTCTAGGTGACACGTAGCTTGCTTCGCAAGGTATGGATAAGTTGCACCAAGTCCACCAAGGTTCATGAAACATTTCTGCATCACTCTGATCAGAATAGTTACGCAGGACACCTGGATGCTCCTATTTCACTTTGCATGTTAAAGCTTCCTTGCGTATAGTTCTGCACAAATACATTGCAAACCATACACAGATCCATTCAGGTAGGCACTTACCCAACATTACCTGTGGAGAGGCACACAGAGACAAGAGAAGAGAAAAAGAAGAAAGAAGGGACAGATTAAGATATATTCCATCATACAGTTTCTAAAATTACTACTAAAGCAAGGCAAAACCTGCTTGAACATCTGCAATTAAGCTTTAAATTTAAACCCCTGGAAGTAAATATATTTATCCATTTTGGAAGCCCACAGCTGAACAGTTAAGTTCTGCAAATAAATCCTGAAGTGGTTTGTTCAAGTTCAGAACAGCAATACCATCCACTTCCTTTAATTGCCACATCTTGTCAGGAATCCTTCCCATCTCTTTTATTCCTTTGGACTAATCCCTTCTTCTTCAAGTCCTTCTACTCGACCTAATGCTATAGGAAGCTACTAGGCAGGACACACAAGATGTGAGCAAAGTTCATAAAATTACTTTGAAGCCCACAGTCTGCCCCCCAAAACCAAAAATCCAACATATGGAGGACCTACTTCCAGGTAGCTTAGAATAAAAATGTGGGCTTTTTATTCTGTTATTATTCCATCCTTCCTGCCCACTCTTCCCCAAAGCAGAAATATGCTCAAGAAATTAAGACTGAAAAAAGCTACTTCTGTTCACAGAAGACAGTAGAAATGCTTGCCCAGTCAGCAACCCCCCAAGTGAAGAGATACTCTGCACTTTTCAAGAAAAAGTTGTCTCCTTCCTATTTTTGCTGGGCATTTCAAGTTGGAGTTGGATTCACTCTCTCATTCTAAAAATAAGCATGCCCAAGCATAACTTTGTAAAGCAGAATTAGTAAGAAAATACAGCATGATGCCTTTAAGTCCTACAATCTATATTGCACTTCTGACAATGTGAGCATAGTTTTCATTCAGACTCCTAAGAAAGTAAACAGCTTATTTACTGCTACTGACAAACATGAAACAGTTTCATGAATTCCATTACCTGTATTGCATGCTTCCAGTAACCAGTAGTCCTTGTGGATAACCCGAGAGTAGAAACAGCATGACTTGCATATTCTCCAGCAGAAGGAAAAAAGATAGAACCCTTTGATATAGTCTTGCTGCATGGTACCAATTTTGTAGTAATTATGAATGGGATTAAACTCTGAATAAAAATTCCTTTTGAGGCATACTCATAATGTAGTGCTCTACTGAAATAGTCCAAGTAGGCCTAGAAAGAGAAAAGCAGAAAGAGACATCTCTTTTTCTTTCTTTTTTTTTTTTTTAAACAATCGAGTCTTAGGGCACTTTTATTAAAATTACAGAAAAGTTGTAGCCTATTTTATATATCAGCTAAAAAAAAACCCTGAACATTGAACAAAAATATGCATTTCTAAAGCATTACTTACATTTCTATTTGTTTGCTAAAACCCTGCAACAGTACAGTAACTTGCAGGATAAAGCAACTGCTTCACTGTGTGACATGAATTTAACAAACAATCTGTCAATTTCTGCTTAAAAACAATATAGAAACATTATTTAATCTAAAACACCTTCTTTAGTTTTGAGGGCATTGCAGAGGACACTCCAAAGCTAACTATACATACTACTGTCAAAAGGACAAAATGAAGCCCCATTTTTTAATACATTTACAGGTGAATTTCATACTGAACTGATCTTCCCCAGAAGCTAAGTTGATTATTTCCTGCAACTCCCTGGTGCAAAATTAAACATGCATTTGTTTACGTGTATCTATACTATCTCCTTTAGTTCGTTTTACTTTTACAGAATAACATAAAAAACCCACAAGCCTGGCAAGTGGGATTGCTGGAATCAAACAGATGGGAAAATGAGTGTGGCTCAGTCCTAGAAAGGCAGCAACACTGATGCCATGCTGAAGCTACTGCTCTGCCACACAGCCAGTTACCCTCAAGAAAGAACATTTTAGACTCAGCTTGTGAGTGAATGGGTTTCTGCTCCCAAACGGCCTCACATTCCCAGCCAACTGTTGGGAGAGCATCTTCTACAAATGCTCTTACACCTGCTTTAGGAAATCAAACAAATCAAACCAACCACTTCAACTACCACCCACTGTTAATGCACAAAGAGGCTTAGGACACTAGAGCAGCTTGTTCCCACTTCTGTGCTAATGTAACTGTACAGAGGCACCAGGCTTCAAACTGGATTGCTGATCTGGGATTTGGATTAATGAGGGCAACTAAAGGAAGAAACTTTAGTACACTTGGTTTTGTTCTGTTCTTTTTCATTCAGGCCTTTTAATTGTTTTAGTTCAAGAGTGCAGTTCTACATATACTCTAGCATAAACAAGGGGGGAGATACTCTGCAACAGAAATGGGAATCTTAAGCCAGTTTTCCAAGAAAATCTGCAAAGAGTTTTATACCTTGGGGTAACAAGAGCTGGTTTTGCTCCAGGCAAAAGGAAGCACTCACAAGTGCTATCCCAGAGCAAGGCTGCACAGGGGACAGGCTACAGCAGAGGGCAGGCACTGACAGCTGGGAGCAATAACCACTTGTGTTTAAATCTAGGCGAGATCCTTACACAATCTCAATTACTTTTGTGGATTCAGCAGCAAGTCATCCAGTGTAAATCCACATCCCCACGTGCATTCATACATCCAGCATCACCCAGCTGCCCCATCCTGTTCATTAGTGACTGGATCTCCTCAGGAAGAATCATTTGGGGGGGTAGGAGGGGGGAGTGCTTTTCACTTCTCCCCAAATATGGTACAGACAATGCTGTAAGAAGCCTTCTGCCCCTTGGTGTTAGGTGAAACAGTGGCTTGATTTGGCCACAGCCCTTGTCACAGTGGTGGCCTGAGCATGAGTATAGACCCTCTTGCTACCAAATACTAGTGTGTAAGTAGCTTGAGGTATGTCTGCACAGTTCAGCTGAAGAAGAGAGAGATGAAATTCTTGACCGTTTCAGTGGGTCACAGAACTGCCACTTCGCTTTACACATCATTCCTCTGAGGAAGGTAACATTTTTCCTAGAACTACTGTTATGCCACAGTTCATACATAAGCCAAATAGCACTGACTTTGTTTCAAAGCCCAGTACTGGTGAGGATGAAAAGTTTACTGCACTTTACATATAACATTCACCTCTGATACTTGAACAAATCCCTAGAAAACTTTCAAGTATATTTTTATATCCTTGCTGAATGTGTTTACAACCAACCAACCTCCAATGCATCTACTTTTCAGTGCATACCATTAAACATTACATCCCAACTTACTTTAGAGGCTGCATAGGTTGTCAACATTGGTGCTGGCTGACAACAGCATGCAGAAGAAATATTCACAATCGCCCCTTTCTTCTTCTTTACCATGCCTGGCAGCACAATATGCACCATCATGTTAGCAGACGCAATATTTATGTTGATAACGTCCCACAGCACATCCTCAGGCAGGTTGGTAAAATAGTCCGGGTAGAGATGAAGTATTCCTACATTATTCACCAAAATGCCAATTTCTCTGTCTTTCAGAGCCTCCTTAATGGCTGGGTAAGCCTCACGCCCCTTGCTGAAGTCTGCTACTATGAAATCTGTTTCTACTTTATAGGTTTCAGATATGCTTCTGGATACAGCCTCCAGCTTCTCTTTGTTTCGGCTGATTAAGATGACATTGACACCACGCTTTGCCAGTTCTTCAGCATACGCCTTCCCGATACCATCTGTGCTACCTGTAACAGAAAATAAAAAAACAAGGTGAAAATCAGAGCAGCCCCTGCCTTCGCTTTTGCCAGTTCTTCCAATTATACCTTTACTCCCTTCTCTGAAGATCACGTGGCACTGAATATAGTGATCTCAAAACCACAACAATAAAGACAACATAGTCATAGAATCATTTAGGTTGGAAAAGACCTTAAAGATCATTGAGTCCAACCATTAACCTAACACTGCCAAGTTCCACTAAACCATGTCCCTAAGCACCACATCTACATGTCTTGTAAATACCTCCAGGGATGGTGACTCCACCATTTCCCTGCACAGCCTGTTCCAATGCTCAACAACCCTTTCAGTGAATAAATTTTTCCTGATGTGCAATCTAAACCTCCCCTGGCACAACTTCAAGCTGTCTCCTCTTGTCCTATCACTAGTCACTTGCGAGAAGAGACCAACACCCACCTTGCTACAACCTCCTTTCAGGCAGTTGCAGACAGCGAGGTCTCCCCTCAGCCTCCTCTTCTCCAGACTAAACAACCCCAGTGCCCTCAGCTACTCCTCACAGTACTTGTTCTCAGACCCTTCACCAGCTTCATTGCCCTTCTCTGGACAGGCTCCAGCGCCAGTTTTTTTGCCCAGCAAAGGGTGTGCCTGTCCAAGCCATGAGCAGCCAGTTTCTCCAGGAGAATGCTGTGGGAAATGGTGTCAAAGGCTTTACTGAAGTCAAGGTAGGCAGCATCCACAGCCTTTCCCTCATCCACCAAGCAGGTCACTTTGTCATAGAAGGAGATCAGGTTAGTCAAGCAGGAACTGCCTTTCATAAATCTGTGCTGACTGGGCCTGATCATCTGGTTGTCCTGTAAGCACTGCATGATGGCACTCAAGATGATCTGCTCCATAACCTTTCCTCACACCAAGGTGGACTGACAGGCCCTTCTTGTAGATGGGAGTCACATTTACATTTCCAAGTCAACTGGGGCCTCCCCGGTTAGCCAGGACTGCTGGTAAACCATTTAAAGTGGCTTGGTGAGCACTTCTAGCAGCTGCCTCAGTACCCTTGGGTGGATCCCATCTGGCCTCATAGACTTGTGTGCATCTAAGTAGTGTAGCAGGTCACTAACCATTTCCCCTTGGATTATGGGGGCTTCATTCTGCTCCCTATCCCTGTCTTCCAGCTCAGGGCGTTGGGTACCTAGAGAACAGCTGGTTCTATTAAAGACTGACGCAAAGAAGGCATGAAGTACCTCAGCCTTTTCCTCATCCTTTGTCACTATGTTTCCCCCCACATCCAATAAAGGGTGGAAATATTCCTTAGACTTCCTTTTGTTGCTAATATATTTATAGGAACATTTTTTTATTGTCTTTTACGGCAGTAGCCACATTAAATTCTAGTTGGGCTTTGGCCCTTCGAATTTTCTCCCTGCATAACCTCACAATATCCTTGTCCTCCTGAGTTGCCTGCTCCTTCTTCTTGGAAGGTCAGAAACTCTCCTTTTTTTCCTGAGTTCCAGCCAAAGCTATCTGTTCAGCCAGGCCGGTCTTCTTCACTGCTGGCTCGGTTCTGGTACATGGAGACGGCCTGCTCCCATGCCTTAAAGATTTCCTTCTTGGAAGAATGTCCAGTTTTCCTGAACTCCTTTGCCCTTCAGGACTGCCTCCCAAGGGACTCTGTCAACTAGTCTCCTAAACAGGCAGAAGTCTGCCCTCCAAAGTCCAAGGTGGCAGTTCTGCTGACTCCCCCTCCTTCTCCAAGAATCAAAAACTCTTTATCATTTTGTGATCGCTGTTCCCAAGATGGCCTCCAACCATCACATCACCCACAAGTCCTTCTCTGTTTGCAAGCAATAGGTCCAGCGGGGTGCCTTCCCTACCTGCTCACTCACCAGCTGTGTCAGGAAGTTCTCTTCCATACACTCCAGGAACCTCCCGGACTGTTTACTCTGCACTGTATTGTATTTCCAGCAGACATCTGGTAAGTTGAAGTCCCCCATGAGAACAAGGGCTAGCGATTGTCAGACTTCTCCCAGCTGCTTACAGAGTATTTAATCTGCCTCTTCATCCTGGCTGGGTGGTCTATAACAGACTCTCACCATGATATCTGCCTTGCTGGTCTTCCCCCAATTCTTATCCATAAACACTCATCCCTATCATCACCATCACTAAGCTCTAGACAATCAAAACACTCCCTAATATAGAGGGCTACCCCACTGCCTCTCTATCCTTGCCTACCCCATCCACTGCAGCACTCCAGTTGTGTGAGACATCCCACCATGTTTCTGTGATTGTCAGTAGCAACCTTCTGCAATCCCACCTCATAGAAGTTTTGTATTTTCTACGACAACAACAGAGCTTAGAGCAGAACCTCAATGAAGGGTGAGGACATCAGAGGTACGTGACTTAAACCTTGCTGAAGAACTTGAGCGCATGTGAAATGCCTGTAGCAAAAAAAGGACTTTATATCTCTGTCTACACCTGTACGTGTTTGGTGTGTACCTTGCAATTTTGGGGAAAAATTGCTCTGTGATTCTTTCCCAGCAGTCAGTCAACACACTGAGCTTGCCTGTCTCCTAAGGAATTGAATTCAGTAAGGCACTGAACAATCATCACTGCTGAAGCCAATTAACTTGCAGCCTGAGACAATGCAGACCCCAGCTTGTGACATAAAGCTCGCCTAATAATGTAAGCTAGCAAGTTTTACAGTACTGGCACAGTATGTTACAGATACATAAGCAAATATACTGCTTCCGTCTCTTACCAGTGATCACGGCCCATTTTCCGTACCGCTTGACAAGATCAATCTCGCCACCCAGCTTTGGAATTAAATGCAACCTAAGCATGTTGCAAGTGCCAAACACAAGGGAGACACATTTTCTGAGTGTGTACCAAGCTCCAACTACAGCGAGGGCCTCTACAAAAAAAATGCAGGAACGACTGATCTCTCTATACAAGAGGTAGAACTGATCCACTGCAGCCATGGTGATCATAAGCCTGGAAAAAAATAAGAGACACATAATTACAATCGCCTCTTGGGCCATGCAAACTTTTCAGACTTGAATGGATAACCTTTGTGATTCAGCACATTACAGTCTGAGCACCATTTTGATACAGAAAAGCCACAAGTTAGCCTGCTAAAATTCAGGCACCACCTACCATCATCCTCATTGGTTTAACTACTGTTTAGCCCTTCCTCAAGGGTTTTGCTACTGATCAGTTACATAGCAACAACACCTATCATCAAGTCCAAGCACATAATAGAAACGCAACATGCAAAAACTAATTTCGGAAGGTTAAGATCCACCTACAAAAGAGGCAAGGATAACAAGCAGGAGAAAGCTGAGCACACAAGAAACAACATGCTCTTCCCAGAACAGAAAGTTACATGAGAGACAAAGCAAGCTCAGAACAGACGTGTTAACCGTAGTCCTCAGCACTATCACAATGCACTAACCCTTTCCCAATAAATGCACCGCATCTACTGTGTCCTCCAGGTCTGAAAATCCTTGGACCACGGGACAGTGCCGTGCATTGACGTCACATCGCACACCGGCTTTCAGTACAAAGCTTGCTGTGCCTTATATGGCTTTCAGCAGTAAATAATTTTTTTTTAAACAAGCATAAAGCCCCACCGACGCCTCCTCGGCAGCTCCTGATCGACCACCGGAGCCGGCAGCTTACCGCCACTTGCTTTAAAGCCATCACGCACCGCCCTCCCCTCGCCCACCGAGACCAAGCGCCCTCCAGGCCCCAGGCCTCACCCGTCCCGGCAGGGAGAGCGGGCTCCGGGCGCGCCCTTCCTGACGAGCTTCGGCCCCTCGCTC